CAAGCTTTGAGAATCCGAATCCACAAAGCAAGGAGTAGGGGGACTAGGTGGGGTTGGAACTGAATACAGGATCCAGACTCGTGGATCCTAAGCAGAGCTGAGGAGGGGTGGGGTGTTGGAAACCAGGGTCCCCATTCACTGAACCTCTATCCATGCTGTTTCTGGAAGCTGGGCGGGCACTCAAGAGGACCTAGACCTCACCTGAGAGATATGGAGGGCCTAACAAAGGGGGCAAACTCTCTAATTGGATGGAGGTGACCTCATCCCCCAAGGGACACCTCCCCCCTAGACTGAGGGTGATTCATCTCTGTGTCTTCAGGCCTCTGCAGCTTCCTTCCTGGCAAGGAAGTGGGGGCAGGGACCTATACAGAGAGGCCGAGGCAGCTGGGGCCACCCTTATAGTTCCCTAAACCTTCATTCTCTCTGCTGGTCCTCCTAATTTATGCGCCCTGGTTCTCCAAGGTCCCCCTCACAGGCCATAAGGCCAGAATCTCTACAGCATCACTACACCCAGGAGTAAAAATAGCCCCTAGAGGCGAGTGTGAGATGGGGACCACACCTAAGGGGCGGACCTAGGCTTCAGTTAACTTCCCCGGGCCAAGAAAGTGGGAACGGCTGCTGGGGAAACGCCAGCGAAAAGGAGAAACAGACAGAACACACATCACCACATAGCCAGGATACAACCGACACACAGGCAAGACACACCGACAAGATGAACAAGATGGGGGGAAGTAGTGAAAAGGGAGGCCCCAGAAGCGGAAGGTGGGGAGAAGGCACACACAGGAAGACAGACTTCCATGACGGGGAGTGGCAGGTGCTGGAGGGCACAGGCCCGAGTGGGCGAGGAGGGCTGCAGACAGCGTTTGGTTTCCAAACCCCAAAGCGAGACCCATTTCTCCTTGACCACACCCACAGAGGGAGTGGTGCTTTTTCTTCCACACCCACCAGCCCGGCATTTTCACCCAACCCAGGGGGTCTCCTGGTCCCTGTAACGATTACTAAACTTTGATGTCCTTCCTGCCTTCTCGTCTCTGGCTTCCCTCAGCCCAGGGGTGGTGCTGCTTCCTGAGAGCGCCTTTCGGTCTCACCAGATTCTCTTTCTCTCTCTCTCTCTCTCTCTCTCTCTCTCTCTCTCTCT